TTTATTGCCACCTCAAAACACCTGGTGAAAAGTCACACAACTAAATGTTAGATTGACATGTTACCAAAATATTGCCTTTCACAGAACTTCCAGTGATGTAAATGGCTAAAGGTTAAAAGAACCAGTAGAGCACCATGGGAAATGTTCATTACAGTACCAAATTCCTCCAGGTCACTCTAGGCCCATTGATTTGTGGGAACATGTCAGCAAACGATCTTTTGCATTGATAACAACACTCGTCTGATACATATTCGAATAAAAATGTAGTTTGTTTGGGACTTTTCGAGACACACACAGTCACTAACGCGTAACTGCTATATACCCCTCACCCCCCTAAAATGTTCCTCCTAAGCATGATTTGCTTAATAAAATAACCCATTCAGTAAAGATGACTGCAGTGAGGAAGAATTTAAACTTCAGAACATAAACAGCCATGAAGCAACACAATAGTATGGGTATACAAGTATACTGGCTCCTACTGTAGCTTTCCAAAATTACTGTAAATGGAAGCAAGTTTTCAAGTTTAACTATCCCCATCAAAATCTCTAGCATTTTGCATAGCTAGCATAACTAGCAACATTAACTAGTGCAGATTTGTGTCTACAAGGAATGAGTTTGTATGTTAGCAGAACAAAAAGCATATTAAAGATTAAGGCAAGGCTGGCAACATAAACACTAGCAAATATGCTAGCGTGCTAGCACTGCTAACATCCAAGAATTAGGATGTTATTAATAAGTAGGGACGGAGTGCGTGAAACATAAATATAGAACATAAATTAAAATCAGCGCACAACAGTGCACAAAAAAGTATGACATTTCTATAAATAGATATAGATCTCTGTTGTATTTGGATGTAGTAAACCCTGATGCCTCATAGCATGATAGCTTCTTGTTAAAAACGTTAATTTCTAATCTTCAAAACTGTTGCTTTTTCCACAAGGATAAACTCAACATTCAGGACCACAACTGAACATTAATGGGGGGGGGTCCTCAGGAGCTTTCCATTTATGTTTTCTGGCTTCCTTCCATTCTTCCTTACTTTGGCTTCCCACTCACAGTTTGTTGTTATAATGATTGGTTTGTTTCTTTATTGACCCATATATTTATTTCCTGGATAGGCCCTGCTTTGAGTGAAGAGTAGTTAATTCCTCTCTTTAGTGAAGCGTTAGTGATGATTTCCCCTAGTGCTTTACTTTAGTTTCTTCTCCGTACTTCTAACATGGCCATTTCTTTTGTGCTTGCCATTTGGAATTCCATTATGACAATATCCGTTCACCTTCTCCGCCGGAGATGAACCGCGCACCACTCGTGAATGGATACACTTGCCTATTCGGTATAGCAAGTAGCCAAGGAGAAGCAGGCACACTCCTATCACCACAGCGACGTCCAATAAGAAGTACTGGTAGGTGGGGATCTCATAGACTGTAGAGCGGAGATGGTCGGCGCCACGATGACGGAGTATATAGCTAATCCAGTAAACCGCCCGGGTCACTGGATGACCAGGCTGATCTTTATGAATCTGAGACAGCAACTGTGCTCGCTCACGATACCTTATTAGAAAGAGAGAGATGGAGAGGTTTCAGAACATCTGAGACAGCACATATATTTCACCAACAGGATGTTGATCTTGACATAAAGGCCACATCTCTTCTTGATCTGTAATTCAGGTTCGAAGTTCCTTGAAAACTATCAGCAAGCAACTTAAACACGGATCTATGGAAGCCCGTTTCCGCCACTGAGTAAAAAATGTAAAAAAGGTTATTGCGACTTTTTATCTCACAATTCTGACTTTTTTTCTCGCAATTGCGAGTTTATATCTCGCAATTCTGACTTTTTTTTCTCGCAATTCTGACTTTATACAACACAATTGAGAGATATAAAGTCAAATTGCGTGATATAAACTAGTAATTGTGAGAAAAAAAAGTCAGAATTGCGAGTTTATATCTCACAATTCTGACTTTATAACTCGCGATTGCGTGTTATAAAGTCGGAATTGCGAGATATAAACTCGCAATTCTGGGAAAAAAGTCAGAATTGTGAGTTTATATCTCGCAGTTCTGACTTTATTTCTCAGAATTGCGACTTTTTAACTCGCAATTGCGAGTTTATATCACGCAATTATGAGAAAAAAAGTCAGAATTGTGAGATAAAAAGTCGCAGTTACCTTTTTTATTTTTTATTCAGTGTCGGAAACGGGCTTCCATACGGATCTGATCTTCACATTTTTGTAAATGCAAATCAAAATAATTAGCTAATATTAATAGTTGAAAATAAATCAATAATAATTTGAAAAATTGATAGTGATAAATAAAAAGGTACTTTTTTTGTATACTCAATGGCCTTCAATCCACCTTCCACTTTGATTTTATGGGGAAAAAAACAGCTTGGACATTCTGCTAAATATCTCTTTTTGTGTTGAACTGAACTTTAATACAGCTAAACTCCTAAAATTCAGTCTGTAGAATACAATGTTTTTTAGGCTACATTACTCTTTGGCTTCCTCGGATTTGTTAAAGCACTATGGATCTGCAAATATTGACACCATTGCAGGGTCTTCAATAGGTCCTGTTAATCATTAAACTTGAGTAACCCCAATTCCACAGTCATTAAAGATTAACTCGGCTCTGTGTGTGAGGGTTTGGATTTGTATTACCTGTTTTTTAACAGACGTTTTACAATGACTGAAGATAGTGTGTGTTTGTGTGTGCTTAATTCACTTTATTCAGGCATTTTATACACATGTGAATTACCTTTTGTCTGTAATGATAGTAACCATGGCAGTGTAAAGGTCTTCTTCACTCATCCTTTTCCACTCAAGCATTATGCCCATGCCTTTGGCCTGAACTCGCGTCATGGTGTCATAGTGATCTCCAAACAGTGGAACACCCACCACGGGCACACCGTGATACATGGCCTCATAGATGCTGTTCAAGCCCCCGTGGCTCAAGAAGGCCCGTGTGTTTGTGTGGCCTGTAGGTGAATAAGAGATGGAGTGTGAGAGAAAAGACAACTATTATTGAAAAAT